AAAATTTAGGTTGACACAGCAGCAATAGGGCAAAGTAGTGCAAAAACAGAGAACAAAAGAATATCACAATAAGAATATTACTAATATTATTAATATTAGAAGATATAAAACTATAAATTAAAGTATATACACTATGCATTGTTCAAGTAGGACATGGAGTGCAAAATATGAGTGGAAATTAAACTTGACTAAAACTAAAAAACTAAAATTAAACTAAAACTACTAACTAACTAAGTGGAAATTAAATATAAATAGTGCAAAAGGCTTGTGCGTTGTAGGTAGGAGTTTTTAAACCAGTCTTTGTCTGTACATTGCGTTGGACTATTTTTATTATTGAGGGTCACTATCCAATTTAATTATGTTTGTATTTATATTTTTATTTGATATGTTATTTATATATTTATGATAGACCCTCATCCTTTAGGTTTCCCGAATCTTCAGTGTTGTCTTGCCCTTAAAAGGGTTATATTCTTAGATATATATCTCTGCATAGAAGGTTTTCTGTCATTAGCCTTTATAAAAAAAACTGTAACGTACATTTCCTATATCTATTCCAAGCCAAATACTGTATGTAAGTATTGACAGCATATTGGTCACTGGTGGAAAAACTATTCACATATTTAACTTAAGTAAAAGCAGCAATTTAAAAATAAAAATATGCATTGAATATCTTACTTAGGTATAAATACAACAACGCAACAAAGTAAAACTAGGCTACTGATTATTTAGCAGAATGGGTGATGTTACATTGCATAATGTTTTATTTTTTGATGATTACTGGTTCTAATGTTATTACAGGTATGTGAATCTAATATGAATTACATTACGTTTAAACTGTTTGTATTTGTATTTGTTTAAAATCTTCATCAGCAAAGTAACTCGTAAACATAGCTGTCAGATAAATGTAGTGGTGTAAAAAGTAAAAAATCCCTTCTGAAATTTCAGAAATATATATGTATAGGGTGCAAGCATAAAGTAACATAAAGCAACATAAAATAGAAATACTGACTGTGTACAAGTACAAGTGCCTCATACAGTACTTTACAGCTTTATGTTAGCATTACAGAACATATCCCATTGAGTGTGAGTGAGTCAATTCATGACCTTGAAAATTATATTTAATAAAAATCAACTGCAAACCTCACTGGTGCAGTCGGACAATGTTGTAGTTTTCCTTTCACACATATAGCCTAACCCTAAAGCTTAGACACATGGGCGCTGTGGAAAAGCTCACTGATGGACACACTATAACAGCTGAATGTCACAACTCATAGTCAACGAGCGGCTGCAATGAGAACGAGCAAGAGCATAACAGTCAGAGCCATCATTGGTCTTCCCCTCCGTGTCCCAGATTGTCTCTGCAATGGTTGTCTGCTTGAGTGAGCAGTTTCTCTTATTTCTGAGAAGGACAGGGAGAGCGGTCTGTTTCTATTTCACGGCTTCCAAGAAAACTTGAAATACGAGTCACTTGCATGCTTGTTCTATATGCTGACACTTGTTAAGCAGGGCAACTGGTTTAGTGATCGACTGTGAAGACGCTTCCTTTCATTTTGGTTATTGCAAACAGACTCTTCCACCGGCTCCAGTTTCCCTGTCAGTGTGCAATGATGAGCATCCTGTAGCTACTCCCTACCTCCCCAAAAATGTGGAGCAGCGGTCAAGTTGCTAATGCACTAAAACATTGGGAATCTTCAGTTATGTAAATCATCATCATGACACAGTCACAAGAAGGTAGGATGTTTCAGACGGTGCAAATTGTGCAGAGCTTAAAGCAGTGGTTGAATCACAACAATAGCAAAGAGGAGTGGCAGAAGTGGAACTCAAGAAAGTAGCCCAGAGTGCAGAGCAGCTACTCTCTGATTACATAACAACGCTGCCACTCTTGATCATTTGTGAGGATGAGCGAGTAGAGACTGGATAAAGCTTCTTTGTATATGGTTATGTGGCTACAACTTTTTATTTTAAACTTATTTCTAACCTCCAAATCGAAATCTGATTTTTATGCCATTTGTAAGATATTGTGGGTATACATGTCTTTGGTTAGGGTTCAGTAATAGCAGGTAATATTAGAGGTTTATCAGGCTGATTAATAATGAAGTTCAATTTAATATAAAGTACTTTATTCTTCCTTCTAGGAGTAATTTAACGCTTGCAAATGCATAAAGACACAAACAAACAAACGACAAACAAAACAAAAAGAGTTGTGTCTAGAGGCAGCATAGACCCTATTCATCTGCTTCTATTTAGTTATCTTGGTGGGGTGTCCTGATATGTTTAGTGCCTGATCCAGAGTGCCTTATGCTCTATCCTGTAGATTTAAGTTTCTAAAGCAGTGGTTCACAACCGGTAGCTCCACTAGGGGTCGCCAAAGCATCACAGAGGGGTCGTGAGGCCTTCTTGATTTTAAGGGGTCAGCATATCTCAGCGTTTCATCTAACTCTGTGAAGAAAACTAGATTATTAATTTTTTTTGTTGCTTAGCTATGATTGTTAATAAATAGAAAATACATTCAGAGAATTGTATAAAAGCTTCTTAAAACCATCAGAAAACTCACATCTGATGTGATATTTGCAGGAAATAATCTGTTATTGTGTTCACTATTAAGAAGAAGAAGAAGATATACTTTATTGATCTTTTTTTATACACACATCAGGCTGAAAATACACACTTCATGCACATGTGGACGTGCAAAGGGGAGAGATGGTGGAGTGATGGAGCTGCTGCGTTACCGGCGCGCCATGAGCAGGTTTCTTGGGGTTAGGTTGCCTTGCTCAAGGGCACCGCGGCAGTGCAACAGGAGGTGAAACTGGCACCTCTCCAGCTACCAGTCACACTCCATATTTCCATACAGTTTATAATATATATTATAATTACAGTTTATAAATACAGGTAATATCAATAAAATATATCAGGGGTCGTCAGTTTGCTCCAACGATAGAAAATCTGGTAAACCACTGCTATGAGGTATATTATATATGTATTTTATTTAAACTTGTTTGACATTGATAATACGTTTTAAAATAATGGACGTTGCTATCGCTACCTTCAGCCTCACTTTCCCAAAAGGCAGTTCGGCCCTCGTCACCATGTTGTTGCGGAAGTGCCGGGGAGCACTGTTATGGTAATTCTCCACTCTGACAGTCGCGTTCATCTTTCAGAGCAGATATTGTATTTGTAGCGGCCACAACAACAACAACAACAACAACAACAACAAACGAGGTATGGCAGCTCTGAAATACGCGGGTATGGACGATACAGACAGTGACGATGAGTTACCTCCAGGATGGGAAGAGAGATCTACGAAAGACGGCTGGGTCTACTATGCAAAGTAAGTGAAATCCCTTTAGTAACGTTAACAGTGGACACCAATATGTCTGTGTCTTTATTCCCTTTCACAACCAAACAATATCTCTGTTCTCAGTCTGTGCACAGCATGCTAGCTGCACCAGATTGATTGAGCTCTGATATCTGCATTGTTGGCGTTAATTTTAAAGTCTGCAGAGCTCACGTTATGGTAGGTTTCTGTCCTAACTAGTGCCAGGGAGATCTTTAACATTAAATGCCTTGATAAGACTGTGACTGTGGTACTGTAACGTTAGCTGCAGTAGTATGCAATAGTGTTAGTTGCAGTACTGTAGCTCAGAGGTTGGGAAATCTTCACTTTACTTTACTTTGAATTTAAAATTTATGGAAATGTAAAGTTTAGTTTGTTAGTGGAGAAACAACAGTGCCAACATGGTGTGTGCTTATTTCATCTTGATCTTTACACCAATGCTTTTCATTGGTATGTTAGAGTCTAACATAGTCGAGCTGGTTTTGCATGCCTTAGCCCTATGTGATGGTTGTGTGTCTGCTTGTTTCCTTATATAAATATGTTTATGGCCCTAAGCGTGTAAACATTTTTATAGTCCTTTGTTTGTGTGTGCCTTTTCTACAACATCTTTTACCAGCTTGTGTTTGATTTATTCTGTATGCTGTATGTCATTTAACGTGGTTTTATCTCACTTGTTTGTTTCTTTTTAATGTATGACATAAATCAGCCAAGAGACTGCAGACGGAAAAAGGGCCTTTATGCCGAATCAAGAACGTTAACCTGTTGTCTGTGTAGATGTAATTATGTAAATGAATACATGCAGTCAAGAACAAGGCTGGGTGAATATTTCCAATCTTCTTTTGTGTCTGTGTACCAACAGCCATGATGAGATGAAGACACAGTGGGAACATCCCAAGACAGGAAAGAAAAAACGTTGTGCTGGAGGTTTGCTTTATTCACTTGTATTTGTATCCTTTCTATCTGCTTGAGGGTCACTCAAAATGGTTTTGTGTGATCTTCAAAGTTGTAGTAACCTTAGCTTTATAACCATCGCATTTGACAGTTTCCTTGCTGAATGCCTTGCCTCTTGTTTTCAGTAACTTTGTCTGTGAAAGTGCTACATAAAATATGTTTATTTATTGTGGCTGTTAAAGGAAAATGACGCCTGTCTTTTCCCACAGATCTACCGTATGGTTGGGAGCAAGAAACTGATGAAAAAGGACAGATCATTTATGTTGAGTAAGTAGAGTTGACCTCTGTTTGCTTAACAAATGAAACAAATTAGCTTATTTTCGGCCTCGCAGGATACCGTATGCTGGACTGTACTAACGTCTCCATGACCCTATTTCCTGTCAATTTCAGTCACATTAACAAGCGGACCACGTATTTTGACCCACGGCAGGCCTTTACAGTAGAGGATGTGGTGGTGAAGCCGAAACGGTACGATGGAAATACTGCTGCTCTAGAGATCCTGCAGGGTCGTGACCTCTCTGACAAGGTCGTCCTCATTACTGGAGGCAACTCTGGCATCGGTGAGTTTCATAAAAGCTTCATGTTTTCTCCATTTCAATAATTGTTAAAGCTATGTTAGAAATCATCAGTACACTGTAAAGTGTGTTTCCATAATGATGCCACTAGGTGGTGATGTGGTATTACACTGTAGTAGAGGGGTGACAAGAGTGTCTCTGCTCCCCATCTCTCCACAGCCATGCATTCATCAACATTAGCCTCCAAAATGATACACTTAGACTCAACAAATCACTCCTTAATACCGAACATGATTGTATTGAAGTTCATTAGCTGGGCTGAATTGGATGTCATTGTTAACTGTAATGAATGGTGTCCATTTGTACCCAGCAAATGCATGGCTCACTATATAATGGTCTGGAAACAAATGTATTTCCTCTTTCCTTTAGTTTAAATTAGCACAAGTAGTGGCCATTTGTTCAGACTTGCTGCTTTGTTCGGGATAGATAATGACAGCATGAGGGAAATCAAATAAACATAAAATCGTTAATTGTCTTTATATTCAAATCCTTTGTCCCAAGGAAAGTCACAGCAGTGTAATTGCTGTGTGTGTATTACGAGACGCTGCACTGTGGTACATAAATTTACAGCAGCCTGGGGACATTCACTGAACAAAGAAGCTCGTGAACTTAAATGGCTTCCTGACCTTGATTTTCTTTCATCTATCTGTCTCTTTATCTTTTTAAACGTATTCAAGGATAAATCATATAGAAACTAAACAAATCAGAATGTCATTTTCCTTGAAAGATTCTTCACATTATTCCACAAAACCGTCCATTCATATTATTAATGTTAACATCAGGATACAAACACTAATATACAGTTTGTTCCTTGTTAACTTCTCAACTGAACTAAAGATGATAGACAAATGAGACACGATCAGATCTATTTATTAGTTATCACTGTTATTGTTGTGAGCATTCTGCGTGGGTATGAGGGGGTGTATGAGTTTTGGGTCAGAGGTATATGTGATTTAATGTGGATAGTTCCTGTGTGTTGTGTGTAAATGTATTTTTTTGTGGACCCCAGGAAGAATAGTTGAATACAGCCATTCCTTCTGGCTTGAAGTTGTGTAAAAGAGAATAATGACCCAAAACATGCATCAAATCGCCTGTTTGAATTTTAAAATAAAAAGAGTGCTGACTTAAACATCTTCACTACCAGTCACCAGAACTCCATTATTATCCTAAATAACTTTTGAGAAGGGAAAAGGTTAAAGGACAGTGTCAATATAACAAGACACTCTCTGAGGTGCTCTAAAAGATTGCTGGATTACTGTGAAATAAAACTAAATTATATGGCCTTTTGATTCAATGTGGTGAGCAATAATTATATAGGGAGAATGGAGAACACTGGAAATAGTTTTCACCACAAGAGGGCACAGGAGGTCCATGATGTTGTTGCTGTTGAGGTTTTTAAACGTTATGTTAACTGCTTCACATGTGCCTTTTTTTGCCTTAGTTAAAAAACTACATTCATAAAAAGACAATCCACATTTAAGATTTGTTGCAATGTATTCAGTAAATGAAAATGTGTTAATCTGAATTCTGCTCTTCGCAAAAAGAACGCATCAAATAGCTACAAGACACAGACATTTATTTGAGGCGTAATATGTGAATGCTTAATAAACCCACATTAACATAACCTTTGTTTTACTTTACCACATATTAAATATGCAGCACCCATAATTAACTATATTCTAATAGTAATTGCTACTACTCGTGTGCTCCTTTGACATTCCACTAGTGAAATGTGGTTATGCCAATTGGTTGGACCCACTTAGCATTTTAATGGCATCAATAGTGTTTTAATCCAAGTGTCAAGGCTATTTCCATTTTCTTCAGTGCTTATTTCCTCCACAGGAAATGTGACATTTTATTAGTAATGGTTGGATATTATTTAATTAGCAAATTTACATTTCAGCTCTTTGATTTAGTCCTTAATGCACATGAACATGAAAGCACCTATATAAGTTTATTTATGCGTGAAATGTCATAGTATCTGGTTTTGTGACCAGCCTTAAAGCTCCATTGCAATAATGCCGGGAGGAGAGACAGTAATGCGGTTTGTCTTGCCGATGTGATCACTGCGCTCGGTTCAGAACATTAGTCTTCCTCTCTCTGCTTTCTTTTGTAAATTAAAAACCAGTACCAAGCTGAATGGTGTTTTTAATTGTGATAATGGAAATGAATGATTGCAGTTTGTTTTCCCCCTATTTCTACTTCTCTCCCCTTTCTCTTTAAAGGTTTTCTTACTCTTATAGACCTGTGGTTGTACACCTGTACCTCTGCATTGATTCCTAAGCGGCTTTGACCCAGGCCTGAGCCTCCTATCCATCCCCATTACATACTCCTGCTCTGGCTCTAATTCCCCTCCTATCAACTAACTCTCAGGTTATTTACTGGCCAGGGGTCCATGGAACAGTTGTCCTTAAAGGGCCATTGTCGTTATATCCCAGGCACCCACTGGCTATAGAGAAAAATACTTTCTTCCTTCATATAAAATAAGTGTTTTTAAAAATTAAAATGTCAGATTTTTATTGTTTTTCTTTCCACAGTAATCTTTCCTTAAAATATTTTTTATGTTGAGGCAGGACTATATTTGTCTTGTGCTCTCCTAGCACACGCAGTCCTCTCTGCCCTGTGACATCTCTTTTGGGACCTGTGTGTAACTACCCTTACCTGGAGAGCAGCGTCAGTCTCACAGGCTCTTACTGCAGGTGCCATGTTGTCAGCAGAATGTATGTTGAGTAGCGGTCAGAAATAACATATTGACCCTCTGTCTTACTCAAATGAAACAGGTAGGCACATCTGTCTTCCATGTGCTATTTTAATCACAGTACGATAGAAATCCTATATTTAGGGGTGATTCACCTATAATAATAACTGTTCTTCTATATCTAGACAAAACAGTGCAACACACAACATCTGAATAGCCAACTTTTTAAAGTTTATATGTTCTTACAACTTATATCATTCTACATTTGCAAAGTTTAATCTTTTTATGCCAACATGTTTAGAATTTTTACCTGAACTTCTTTGTCTGTACAGTGGCTTGTAGAGCCAGTAGAGCAGTAACCGCAGTGGTAAAGCGCTACTCAATCTAAATGCATGCACTAAATTCCACATGGTATTGTTGTGTAGGTGAAGGGTCAATGCTGGAATAAGAAGCAGAAAAGACTCAGGCAGGCCAGACAGGGAATAGCAAGGATTTGGAAAAGGAGCGCCTCATAATGTTTTAGTATCTCTGTGCATCGTCTCTGCAGTGTTTTAGGACTTTGAATGTTATTCTTATTCATGAAAGACTAACATTGTTCTATGTTTGTGTTGATCCCAGTGTTGTGTTGGGAGGATTAAGTGTCAGGCCGGTGCTCCCCTCTCTCTGGATGGAGAGATCCCTAAGCATATTCAGTGAGTCGCAGAGCTGGGGGAGCCTCTGTGTGCAGATTAAACCCATAGCCTAGCTTTGTGGCTGATCATTAGATTGAGGCAGATTTGTTAAGCATAACTGCCATTAAATTGGTTGCAAAGCTCTGGTATTTACTGCACTGCTGTTTATGAATAAGGACCCCCTTAAAGACCCGTGCAGCGATGCGTTAAACCCAAGCCTCGGTAAGGAGGGAGATGCATTATTCATAGTGGGAGGAATTAGATGGATAAAAAGATGTTCCTGGTGAGGGTGGCATGCGGTGCCTGTGTCTCAGTCTGTGTGTCTCTGAGCATCCCTGAGTGGCTGCGTGAGGTTTAGACATCCAGAGTGTATCTGTGTTTATATTCAGGAGTCTGATAGTATTTTGTGTGGTGTCCGCTGGGGGAGCGGCCAGCCCGTGTCCTGCTATGTCTCCTCTGTGTCAGCTTGTGAACTGAACCACTGAGTAAATCGAAGGAGAGCTTTATTTATTTTTTTTCCAACAGGCATTTCATGTCCTCTATGATGAATGTGTTTATTGGCGACGTAATGAGAACCAGTTATGGTTGGTTAGTCAAATTATTTAACTTTATTAACCTTGGATGAAATTTGCTATGCAGACTCAAACTGGTGTAACATGCAAAGAGTATTATGCGGGAGGCCAGAAGGGTTCAATAATGATTACAGTTCTAATATAATACAGTATAACTGAAGTGGTTAGAGAGAGAGGATGTAATACATATATGTGCTTAAAGGCTGTAGGTAAAATAAAATGAAAGGGTACTGGGTTATTGTGTGTAGTCAAGTAGTTTATAGACCTATCGAGTTTACAGTCTGCAGATGATGAGGGGATGAAAGTTACATGATGGGGGGGGATTTTGATGACAGTGATGAAAATAGCCCCAATGCTCAAGAGATATGTGTGCTTGAGCAGGCGTCTGGGGTCTGTGTTTATCCTTGTGCATGTGTGTGATTTGGTGTGTGTTTATCAAGTTTATTGGCTCTGTGTGTGTGTGTGTGTGTGTGTGAGGTAGCCAGGTAAGGCTGGCTGCAGGAGGAGCAGGGGTGACCAGTGCGACGTGAGGCCATGATGAGAGATTGTGTAGGGAGTTGGAGGTTGACACAGAGGGTCAGAGGAAGAAAAGAGGGGGTTGGTGGGTGGGTACTAGATAGGGCTGCCTGGATGGTGAGACAGCAGTTGGGGGGGTGGGAAAGGGACAGGGAGGGGTAATAGAACCACTCCAGTGCTCTCGCCTGGAACAGCTCAACCTTGGGCTGTAATTACTAACCATACATCCCACTTTTGGGGTGACATCTCCCTCCTCTTGGACTAATGGAGGGGAATTAGAGGGGATCTTAAAAGTCAGAAAGAGTAGGGGGGGTGTGCCGTTCCTCACTTCTTGGGACAAGAAATACACAGCAGCAGCAGCAGGAACAGGTGAACTCATCACTGAGCCAGTCAGGAGTTGCTCTGTTTGACCGTGTTCACTCATTCACTATTTTCTATATAAAAGACACTCAGTAGTTTACTTTAGTGAAATGTAAATAGTTTAGACACTTGCATTATCATCATTTTTCGTCACTACTGACAGGTATCTATAAAATGTGGAATTGTTAGCAGAAAGTAGAGGTAATACAAAGAAAAAAGGAGGGGAACCGTCAAATGTATATTTATTACACTAATTCACAAATACAGGCACTGTGTGGCATCAATAACAAAAAAAAAAGTCTTGCATGTCATTATGTTAGATGTTCACACGCTCAGTATTCATTATCAGTAGTGTCATTGTTGTTTTGTATTCACAATACAAATTCATCACATCACTTCCTGCTTTTTATTTATATTTCTAGAGACACATCCTGATTGACCTCTTGGTGCCTGAGACGGAGCGTAAAGCTTGAAACGTGTTGCATTACAGAGTCGCTCCAGATCCAAGACTTTTTCTTTTCTCTCATTTTGTCACTTTACTAATTTTTTAGCCCTTGTAAAATCACTGGCCCATTTAAGAAGCCTTTTCCACAGTTTATTGTGGATTCCGGGTTATAGCAAAAAAGTATAGTATGCATGCCACAGACACTACTTAATGAGGTGCATACATTTCACACTCAGAATTACAGCAAATATAGTGCATTATAAGGTAAATGGGGAGTTAGAATATAGGATAAGATATGATGTTGGGGTAAAAGAGTGGACTTTAGGGAGTGACAGTGAAGTGGCATGATTGGACCAGATGCTGACGGACTGCAGCTTGCGCATGATCCACATCACACTCAATAAATCTGGACATTTATAAACACCAAAATAACCAGCAAATTTTGACGCATAAATCAGGTTGACTGCACAAATTAAACCAGTCAGAGATACAGACATAAACAGTCTAATTAAAAGTCACATATTTATCATATTTATTCATTGCTTCAGAAATATAACACACAACATATTTTTATGTTGTGTGTTACAGTTAAAAAAATTAAAAAATAATTCATTGGGGTGGGCTGATTGCTATGTAGTCTGTTCATGATCTGTGTTGCTCTTGTGTTTTTTTTTTTTTAGCACAAATTCTGCTCCGTCAAAAGGGGATTGTGGGAACTCGACATGTTTACCCACAGGTCTTGTAATGATCTGAATTGACTTCTGTTTGCCCAATTGTACTACGGAGCTTATTTTAGTTAAATGCCTCTTTGGATGCAGATCAAGAGAAGGAGCAGGCAGCTCCGTTTGCCAAATAAACACGTTTACTGACGAGGCTGGTAATGATCTCATTACATTGAGCCAATACACCTGTGTACGAGGGGGATCCAGAGAGGGGCGGCGGGCCAGGGAGGACAAACAAAGCGTGAAATCACTAAATCACACTCATTATTGGGGGATATCAGTAGGGCCAGGATCCTAATGTACCATGAAGAGCATTCACTGCTTAATGGACATTTTACACAATTTTTTATGCATTTTATACATTACAGTAAAACAAATTTTCAACAATAGCTGAGCCATTTACTGTATTTTTGTTACGTTGTGAAACCTCAGATTGAACAAGCACACAATCAGATAATCGGCTTTTACTGGACTGATTTGTTATATCTTCATCTCCTTCTTCTGACCACGCGCAGACTCTTCTTCATTTACATCTGTTTTTACCACGTTGTTGTCCGTTTAGACAAAAGAACCTGAAAGATCATTACAGCCCAGTGTAATAGTCAAGCCTTGTGTGTGTTGTAAAACAGCTTATGGCGTCTGTCGATCCACCAGAGCACAAGAAACCGCTGTCTGACCTCTTGTCATGTTCCACCATCAGCGTACGATGCTGAAACAGGCTCTCTTTGTTGTACACCTGACCAGGAACTCATTTCAGTGCAGCCCTTTCTACTGGCAACATGGGTGAGAGGGCGGGGAGTCTCTGTTACAGCAACACCACTCTCGTTATTTCACAATTAATGTCAAGCCCTTGTTATTTGTCATTGGAAATACATGGCTTCGGTGCTGCTGCTGTTGTTGCTGCCATATTCTAATTTGTTCTCCATTATGGAAAACACTGGTGTCGATTAATTTCACTTTCATGGTTTGTACACACAACAAGTGAGTGTGAGGTGTTGTTGTTTACCAGCAGTCAGTACTCTTGTCCAATTTATAAAGGCTGGAGAAAAAAAAGACTTATGGCATGTTTGGATTCCCTTTTTTATCATTCGCAAATTTAGGTTTATCTGCTGCTGCTTGTGGATTGTTATACAAATTAGTAATATGCTGTAACCATAAGACAAGACACATCTTTATCATTTTTATGCTTGATTTTTAGATGAAATTATAGCAAAAATACTGACATTTTGTATGACGTTGAGATTGACAAGACATTTCTTTCCTTAAACCTGCCGCTCCAGCTGCAAATTCAAAGCGCATATTTACTCTGGGAGTCGAGCTGCTCGTTTTTTTTTTCTGTCATATTGTTTTTATTTTCATTTCCATTTCCTGTGAGCGAAATGATCTCCGCTCACAGCCACAGTCCCCTCCATTACACCTAATAAGGTGTCATATAATTTAATTCCATGCTTCACTTGTCAGAGAAGGCTTCCAATCCGAGTCCAATTTTGAGTTTTAATAGATATTAGTCCTTAACACTCTCCTCACAATTAGGCCTCCCAGTTTTGCTCTTAATGAAAATCAGATTAAGACATATAATCTAATTACAGTTCATATTAATCCACCCTCTGATACACTCTGCCTCTCTTTGCCACAATCAATTATTGTGCCCGTCAGTTTGTCAATCAGAACACTCGCACTGTACGCGATTTGTGTGTATCTGACTGTGGTTTGTATTTACTGTAGAGGTGGGACTGAAAGATGTGACGTTGCTCTGTGATGTTGAACTATTCCACGGCACTTTGAAGGATAGTAAATGTCAAAGGAAATAAAAATACGATGAAGGGGTAAAAAAATATGAATCTCATAAATTAATTCAACCTATGGGTTGAAATGACCCATTTAGACTTGTAATTTAGAAATGAACTTCTCTCCCTCTATCTTCAGTTTTTGTCAGTTTTATCGTGACTACATGATTTGGATGGAGCCATGAAGTAGTCTTGGACTGATAAATTCTGTGTGTATCTGCGGACCTCGTTTCATCGGAGCAACGTCCTTATCAGAGGCCCTTTGATGTGCTGAAATATCACACCGAGGTTCAGTTTCAATGTCATGTCGGTTCGATTGTTCATTGGGCTCCCTCTGTTATGAGCCATGTTTTTCATAATTACTGGCATCGCTGTATAATTACTAACATAATTAACAACCGACCTCCCTTCCTCTGACCCAGTGTGAGATGCGATACCTTATTGAGAGCCTGCGGTCAGATCCAAAACCTTATCTAAGACGAGAGGAAGAAGTCTTGAACCACAATAATTCAATCAGTTTCATCACTTCAGAGAGAAATTATTAACTTCCTCTACTAGACCACTGGGTTACTCAATGAAAGAAATTATATGGAAAATTGATAGGGATTTTAACTTGCACCCTCTCCATCACCACCCCCAACACCCCATTAGATTCAACCCCTGAGAATCAAAGTTATCTCCATAAAATAACTAATCTTTGAAGCATTACTCACATTCATTCTTTTTCCTTTTCGTGTCTTTGTCTGTCTGTCGGTCTGTCTCTCTGTCTCTCTGATCATGTCTCAGGGTTTGAGACAGCCAGGTCTTTTGCTCTGCATGGTGCCCATGTGATCCTGGCGTGTCGAAACCTCTCCCGGGCTATCAAGGCAGTTAACGTCATACAGCAAGAGTGGGTAAGTGGCCATGTTCAAGAAACCCAAATTTACCTTCAAACTCTTTAAAAGTATAAGCCTTGTGATGTCAGCAATTTCCATGAGGAGAACTTATAATGCCTTGATCCTACCTAAGTATTGTCTGTGTGGCCAAACCTGATATACAGTAGCTTATGTCTCTTTCCTTAAGTATAAGTATACTCTGTATATACAAGTGTGTCTATATAGTTTGTGTCCCTCCATCCTGGAAGAAGGATCCTTCCTCTTTCTTTAGACCTTTAATTCTGTCTTCAACCAGATCAAGGATATAAAAATAAAGAGGGTGTTCAGATAGCAAAGAGACAAATTTCTCTGAGACAAATTTGTGATTTTGGGCTTTTATAAATAAAATTTCACATTGTGGATGTTTAACAACAATTATGGTCACATTAGTTCAATTTCACCTGACATCAAATATGTATTTATAAATCCCAAATATTCAGGTCTCCCTGGTTAAAGAGAAACATTTTACTAAATGAGAAAAACAGTTGAAGTATTCATGTTTAGGTTCTCACAAACTGCCTGCATGCTTCCAAAGAAAGGTAAAGAAACTTCTGAGAGAGAGAGAGAGAGAGAGAGAGAGAGAGACAGGGAGAGAGAGAGAGAGAGAGTTGAAAGGAGGGAGAGAGAGGGAAAGTGAGAGAGGGCATCTGATAATTACCTGAGATTATTGCTCTAATATCGCTGCGCTTGTGACGCATCCCCAGATTTACGAGTGTGGGAAAATAAACAAGTGAAATGTGGGTGCTGGAGCAGAAAGAATAAGCCATTAGCACTGGGTTGATTACAGAGAGCAGGACTTGAAGAAGAAGGAGAGTGAGTGCTCAGCGCAGATACGGAGAGAGTGGCTGAGAGGGAGGAAAAGAGAGCGAGGGAGACAAACGCCTTTGAGCGAGAGTAGATCTGCAGTGTTTAAACTCGCCCAAGTCTCTAATTGAAGTATGCCCCTGGGGCTGTCAGTGCTGCTCCACAGTAGTGTGAAATCCAGTGTACAGATCTATTAATGTAGCTGCTCTGTCTAAATGAGTGAGGAAAAGCTCTGATCCAAGTACCAGATTTTGCAGTCAAATTGATTTTCAAGCTTCACACCTGCCACAGAATCATCCGCGATGTTGTTAAATGTTTGCGAATTCAAAAACGGAGGCTGCTTGGAGTTGCTTCAAAAGATCAAATGGTCGCTGACCTCTGCAGTGTAAATCATAATCTTCCCTATTTGTGGCACATTGGCATGTGGCGTGTGCAGATTGCCGGCAAAGAAAATGATCGAGTTAATAGAGTTCTGTATAGTTCAAACGGAGCCTGAGTAGTGAATTTAGCATTCCCTAAGCTCAGTCCATATTTCCTTCTCAAGGAATCCCCCTGCTAATGAATAAAAGTCACAATATCAGAATAAATCTTTGCTGCAAATTCTCCCCTCCGGCGACATTATTAATAGATTCAGGAGAAGAATAGAGAGGAGGATTAATCTTTAAGATGATGGATGGACTCCGCTCGCCTTCCCATGCTCCTGCGTTAAGGTCATTTTGATAAGAAGGTATATTTTGGGGTCCTCTGTACAAAAGGTCATCATATCTACTTCCAGGTCCCTCTCAGAGTTCCGCTCTGGCTGCCAGGAGTGGAACTGCTGTCCCGATTGCACAGGACCTCTGACCTCTAACTACCTGCTTACTATTACTCTGAACTCTCTCTTTCTCTAACTCTCTCTGTGTCTCTGGCTGTGTGGGCCGGCGTTGCTGTTGAGAGGTGAGAGTGATGGCTCATCCGCAGTGCAGGGCGTACAGCGTAGCACCGTGTACTGACAGTGGGTATAATAGTGGGGTCACAGATGGATAATGGGCAGGTCAGAACAGCCACTGGCTGGTTAGGAAGAGCAGGGTCAGAGGGCTCATCCTTCCCAGCCAATCGCACTGTGCCCTGCCAGGAACAGTATAAACAGATTTACAGAAGATTCCTGCAAAAAGAAAATCTCTTCTTAATCTTTAACCAACATGAAAGTATAGGTACAAGGTACATTTATTAATCCTTTTATAATGAGATTAATTTGTAGTTCCCTTTTTATGCTTCTCACAAAGCAAAACATTTTATACAAAAATTATTATTATATATAAACTCTTGTAAATTGGGGAAACAATAATAACTAATACGTCATTACATTAATCCTTGACATTATAGAGGTTGTTTGGTACTTTTGTTGGTGTTTTTACTGACTTTCTGTCATGAAATTAGTTTCTTGCTGTGTTTATGCTACATACTGTTTTCATGATGGGACTTTAGCTGCATCCCCACCGCAGGCCTAATCTGAGCAGAACGAGTTGTTTTCTCTGCCTCTATTCGAGCTGTGAGGTGAAACCCCTCCAGCAGGCTCATTAGGGGAGTTTAGAGTGGCGGAGAGGGGATAAACATTTACCTTATGATTGTGTTTTACAATAAGCCTGATGCTGGTTGCCTTTATGGGGTTCAAAGGGGGCTGTTTTTACAGGCTGTGATGAAGCCACAGTAAAACCAGGAGAGGATTGAGTAGCAGATGGGTGCTGGGAGAGATGGGAAGACAGATAGAGAAAATGCTGAGAGTGAAGCACGATAACGGATTGGTACAAGGCAGATAGATTTGGAAAGCAAAAATCTTTGATTCATGTACAGATTTAAATTTAGTATTGTACTGTCGTATTGTATTGTCGTAGAGTTTGTGAGGTGACTGTGTAAATCTCTCTCTGCAGCTCTTGGCCTCTGCCTTAACTATGACTTAACTTAGCTATTTTCCCACAGCCCCTTACCAATCCATCTCCTATTCTGCTCACAGTACATGCAGGTTAAGTTGCTGGTTAACAACCAAAGTGTTGCCTGCGTGCTAGAGATTTATTTTTCCTGATTGCCTTTAAAATTCTGCTTATCTTTGAGTCCAATGTCTCCCTCAGAGAGCTGTAATGGACTCCCCTGAGATACAGCCCACTGTTCGGTGGGCCAACCAAGGCCCTTGGCCCCTGAGTAGAATACAATAAGTACACACACACACACATACACACACACGGCCATACATGGCCATACATGGTCTTATTTTGTAATTTCCTTCATTTAAAAAAAAATAAAAAAATCCAAAATGCTTATTTCCCCCACTGCCCCTTTCTACAACACATGCTAATGAGATGCTTTGTAAGGGCGTTAATTAGCGAGCTAGTCACTGATTGCTGTGCTTGTTTTTGTTGTGTGTGTGTGTGGCAGGGGGGTATTAATATGGCTGTGTGCCGCTGAGGAGAGTTCTGTCAGGGTCTGCTCTGGAACCAATTAGGCTAAAGCTCAGTGTCCACTGAGGCTGCTGGGAGAAAAAAGCCTGCTGCTTGCAATGTCAAACAGCAGCATTAACACAAGCCAGAGAGGCACAGCGAGACAGGCGGACTGAGAGCCGATAAGCAGCGGTCACTCATACAGACAGGCAGAAAGAACCGCCCGATAGACAGACTGTTCTTCTGCTAGATATGAAAATCAGACAAAGAACCATTTTTTTTCACCATTTTTATCACATAGAAAGCTTTAGATCTGTAGAAATGTATATATATATAGATAATCTACCCATGTACTCTAGATATGCTCATTCTCAATAAGGCACAATGTTCCTCTCCAAGCGTCTGCTATTTCAGGTGAAATGACTGGATTGTTCCAAAGCAGAGGTGGGAAAGGTCTCAAAAGACAGACAGAAATAAGGCTAAGTCTCTTCTTGGGGATGCCGGTACAGAAACTTCTGTTCCCATGCCTTCCAGTGTGAATCTTACCTTTTCCCTGCACATAGCCAATGATTTATGAATGTTAAAGTCACATGCTTACGTGTCATGGCCCACATACAGCAGTATACAGTGGCAAAGTTCTGGATATGTCACACATTTCTTATAGAAAACTACTTTCTTGCATGACGGTGTTCATTAGGATCCCTTTCTGTGTCACCGTTGCTCTACATTTAACCCGAATCACACTTGTTTGCATAGAAAAAGTGGTGTAATGTGTGTCTCTGTGTGGATGCATGCGTGCCTGCATTTGCCCGGTGCATAACCTCCTGTGTCAGTCTGACAGGCCCTGTGCCCCGCTGGCCACCATGCCATGCCATGCTCCTCCCGCTGAGGCCAACAGGAAGTGACACATGTGAAATGCTGACCTGGTCGGTTGCAGCCCCCTCCAGGGCCTCAGGATGCTGCTCTTTTAGTCACTCTCCCCCTCTTTTCCGTCGCTGGTTGACTCTGTTTTTTTTTCTTTCCAAAAGGCCTCAAAAGACTTTTGTCCCCCTTCATTCACCCTTCGATTCCATACCACTTTTTTCTTCTTCTTTTCTCTCCCAAAATGATTAAGGAAATTGCAGCCCATTTCCCAGGTCAGTGAGCAGGTCCGTAGCACTGTTCTCTGCTGCCAGAGAGCCTAGTAGATTGTAGTTCATCATTTTAGGTCTTATATCTTGCAGGACTTGTTTTTTCTAATAACTCTTTTATCCTGATTTGATTCGACAACTGCATAAAATGTTTCAACATCACGTCATAGCATGCTTATTATCTTACAGGAAACCACTAATAAACTAAAAAACACCTTTTAATTAAAATATACATACCTTTTATGATATTTGAGGATGTCTCACATGCCGTACTTTCTTTCATTAAAAAGTAGCGGTGATTTTTTTTGCATGTGGTTTGCTGACACACCACTGTTAAAGCTCAGATAAATCCAGTGGAGATTGTTGTTGGTGATGTCGAAGCTTGTGCTTAAGCAGCCCTAGAGCTCCCTTTCAGATTGTCCCCAGACAACACCAACATTATACCTGCACTTCCCCCTTTCCCTGCTCTCCCAATCCTCTCCTCCAATCTCAGGTGCATCCACTGAATCATTGAGGGAAGTGGCGGCTCTCCCTTATTTCTATGATGAGGCGTTGTGAAAATCAGCCGGTTTCCTCACGTATTAATAGCATGTGTCCGCCTCTCCAGGGAGAAGTTCTCATATCTCTTTAT